AGGAAATATACATTTATGAAGTCATTGCAGTGCTTCTTCCTCTCGCTATATTAGATGACTTGAAGGCATATCATGAAACAGACTCCAAAACCTGTCCTCTAAAGTTTGAAGAGGAAAGAATTTCTTCTTGGAAGCAGAGCAATAGGTTTCATTTCTGGAGATTAACTTTCCAGGCTTTGATTACAGAAGGAAAAACATTCCTACAAGTTAGATTTAGATATTCCTACAGACTTCTTCACTTAAAAAGTCACTGCTATTTCATTTTAAGCTTAGTTTGTTTAAGCAGTTAAGAAAAGTTGGTGAAAACAAATACCCTTCATTGTAAATGGACTGAAGAACGAACACAAGAGAGCCTACAACTAAGGTTCTTGATTTCAACTGTGTAAAGAACTGAAGTAAGGAACTAGCTGGTAAGCTAACCAGTTCGAACTGGAATAGCTCCAGAACTTGAATACAGAAAAAGAGAACTTGGCATATCCTTAAATCAAGTGTTAACTGAAACTCACATCGCAAAGAAAGGGATAAAAGCTTTCAGTTAAGAGTCTCAGTCTCCTGTATGAATAACCACCAAAGAAAAGATATTAGGAGGAAACATAAGACTTGAAAAAAAATAAAAAACAGGCTAGAGCAGAGATATTGAATTGAAGAACAGGGTTGAAGTGAAAACTACAATACATTAAGGTGAGAACAACCCTGAAAAGAAAATAAAGTTATAGGGAAACAAGCAGTAGAGGCTAAAATGCTCTCAAGCTGCATAAATGAGCATTAAGGCAAAAGAGCTGCTATACCAATAAAACTGGAAATTATTCAAGAAACTAATTGTAGAGAAGTATTGACATCATCTAACTTAGAGCACTGCAGCAAGGCATAAATTTGGGAGTCTATATAGCTCTCTCTATAGTCAATGAAAAGGGGAAAGACTTGGCTAGAAAGGGAAAGACAGCACCTGAATCAGGCAGCCATCAGGTGACGAATGCCCTCTAGAGGCACCTCACCCTCCATACTGAATGGAAGCCTTGGCTTCCAACCTGGGCACAATGCCAGGCTATGTGAATATGCGTATATTGTGTATCAGCTTTCAAAAAGAATGATTAATAGTGACAATGGAGGAAAAAAGCAGTGTAAGAATTAAAATTCTCATCCAGGATAGAAGGAAGAGTCATACAGCTCAAGATACAATGGGGTTAGTGGGACCAAAGAAGCACCAACCTCGAATTCTGGCACTCTACACAAATCCTTATTCAGACAGACTGTAAAAATCTAAGTCTCAGATTATCGTCTTCTGCCATGTCTCACCTAAATACAAATTCATATCTCCATTTTGGGCCATGAAGTTTTCTAAGCAACTAAACAGAACTTCCACACCTGCTTGCCATCATCCACGTCTGGGGACAGAAGCATTTACGTTCCGTCACGATTCTGGAATTGGCAAGGAAAAACTTAGTCTTTGCTTAAATTCTGGTTGCAGTCTGAACCACCAGAGAGGTTTGCAGCCTAACATACTCTTTTCCTGATCATCTTTTGCTAATAGCTTACCAGTAAGAGCATCCATTCAAGAAATCCAAGAACAACGTTCTAGCCATCAGTCAGAGAGAGCTTGGCTCTTCTGCTCCCATTTCCTAAAAGGAGCTAAAGAACATGGTGGGAGGCAGGTATCCCTCAACAACTCCTTTTGAACTAGGCAATCAGAGAAAGGGACAAGGGCAGAAATCATGACAGAGCCAGGCTCTTTAGCCCAGTGGGTAACAGCTTCCTTAAGCAAAAAAAGTTGTTCACCCTTAACGCTCCACTAGCCTCACATGTCTCAGATCACAGGAATACCAGGGTATTCACCCCATTATTAATGCACATTATATTTTTGCCATCTTCTCAGCAATGCCTCAATGACCTGACTTCTTTCTTTCAACAGAGAAAATTAGGGCCACACATGATAACGCTCAGTAGGGAAGAGGCTTATATGGACAGCAGGGTGCATTCTCTGCAACAGTTTAGAGACAGTCTACATTGAATAGCAAAACAAAAGTCTCAGTAATACTACCTAGAAGAATGTAAAGAAAGCCTTTTTCTTTCCTTATAGCCAAGCTCAGGGTCAAGTTTCCTGAAGAGCTAAGGCGCGGAGAGAATCACAGTTTGTTCAGGAATATTGAAAACACCTTTTAAAAGAACTTGAAACGATGTGCAACTCTCAAGTTATGCTTTTATCTCAGTAACACGCATAATCGCTGAACATCCCTGGCCTCTGCATTCACCTAGTAGACCTTTTATTTATTACATGTATTCTTCACAGCACCACCTCTTCCTGCATTTAGGATAGGAACCATTTCTCATTCTTAGATAGATATTATCAATCTATTATCTTAAATAGGTATTTCTTGAATATAAACTTAGTTCTAATAAGGAACTGCTGGCTGTATTGTGGGTGCAACAAGGGTTCTAAAATGAGACTACAAAGCAATCAGAAAAAGATCTAATAGCTCCATCTTCAAATATCACAGTATGAAGTCTCTTGCAGACATGTCCACTGATAGGAACTGGACCAGATCCTCTTTAAGGTTCACGGGAGATCTTGGAGCATAGTTTTTGGGAAGGCAGGCAGAAACACAACCAGGAACCTAGCAAGACAATCTTGGGAAAAAGGTAGGAGGGAAAAGAACATCAAAAGGACTAAGTACAGAACTAAGTGCTGACAGAGTGCAGAGACTACCGCATGCCAACTAAATATGCCTATCCTCCAAAGTGCAAAAGGAAGCAGCATTTCTGCCCTTTTTTGACGGCATCAATGGGCCCTTTGTGGTGCCTACCCACACTGAGGCAGTGGTCAGGCAAGTGGCAATTAATTTCATCATCCACTTCAGTGGATCAAGCCCCATCATCTTTCAGGTACAGAAAGAAAGAAACCAAAGGTGCAAACTGAATACCAAACCAGGGCTGCTGGATGACAAAAGTTCAACCCTAATCTGATTTTATGAAAATAGAAACCACCCTACTGCCCAAAGAAGAGCGTGATAAGAAAGCATAAAATGGCAGTATAGCTGTCCCATCATCATTGTGGGCTGGGAATCCACAGCAAATTTCAAAGCAACCCAAGATTTGGTAAATCCTTCTGACTTAGTTGACTGTGTAAAACAAAAAACAAAAAAAAACTATCTAAAAAGCAAGAATAAATACAATCTGAATGAGAAGCAACCAGGCTGCTGATACAGAAACACTAGATAAGTCGTTATCTTCAGTTTAATGCCCTCTCGGGATTGTCCTGGAAGCATATCTCACACTATACAATTCCTGAGTGGCCACAGAGTAGGTAATACATGCTGATAATTTCTCCAAAAGACAGACAGTTACAGGTAGCACTTAGATGTAAAGAAAGGCTAAACCTTACAAGGTTAAACTGGCTGATGAACTAAACTATGTTCAACAGCTGTGTTTAACCAGACTCCATGAGCAATCAATTTAAAAATGTGGCAGATCAGTCTCAAAAGCTTTTGTCTTCTACAAGCAGTACAAATACCAGTTAAAACATACTACTGTACTCAGTGCACAAATACCTCAGTAAGATCAGTGCTAGCAATTTTTTTTTTTGGAAAAAAAAAAATCTTTATTACTAAGCATTTTGGTTTAATATATCACTGAACCGACTACAGAACGATTTGCAGCTCTTCTGCTTTGGATTTGACACAACCTTCCAGAATTATTTAACTGATATAAAGTTATTTCACTCACAGGGATAAGAATTCCAGCTGAAAGACCAAGAAGACAAAAATCACACTAAACATCTGTCAATCATCATGTAAAACATGTAAGTAGTCTGACTTAGGTGAATCTTCTTTATGGTATGCCTCTCCCCTCCTTTTTGACAGCAATGACACCCCTGCAGGGCACAGGGCAGCCAGCAGCTATGAGGAGCAAGGGAGATAAGGGTACACCTGGGAGCTGGAAGACTGTAGGAAGGAGGGAGAAAGCAGCACTCCAAATTCCTTCTCTGCACTCCCTTACCTAGTTTTACCTAGCGGCAAACAAGAACAGCCTAACTGAGCCAGAGGACCATGGTGGGGGGCCCTTCAGCCCTGGGGAAGGCACACTGCACATCTCTGTCCTTATCCACTGCCTCGCACCTTCTCCCACCCTCCTCTTCCTCCCACCCGCAAACCCTGCCTTCTCTCATTTGCTTCTAGGCTAAACTGGAGAAGGGACATGGTTGCAGCAGTGGTTGAGGCAAAGAGATCAAGAGCCAGAGAAACAACAATAACAAAAAAACATCTTCAGAGCTGGCGGCAGCTCGCCATGGTTTCCCATCCCAGGTGCTTGATAGGATGTGTGCTTGCCAGCAGGCTAGAGACAAGGGTGCCAGGTACGGGGGTTGTGCATCAGAAAAGGAGGTGGTTTTCTTTACACGCCAAAAATGCCTCCCTAACTGCTTAGTTAAGCAACATGCATCAGCATTTCCTTATGAGCGTCCTATCAGATTGCACAGCTGAAAAATACTCTATGCTCTAGTGATAGCAGCACATTAAGGGAAGGGTAATAACGACTGCAATGCAAACTGAATTCAAAGAAGAAGTTTCAAGTTATTATTTGTATTGTTATGCCTAGAGTTGACACAAACATTTACCTTATTATAATATATGTTGCAGCACACATTAATCAAGATCAATTAAATGGACGGTGCAAGTTGTGAACACACATATGAGATGCCAAAAATCGGGAAGATGAGTAAGATGGTATTAAATTTCCACAGCTACAATTAATCATAGTTAATCTATCAGTACTCAGCTGAAAATAAACTAATAGTCAAAAAACAAAACAAAACAAAACAAAAACCCAGCACTATACCACACTCTGGGAAGGGAATGCACTCCTCTAAAGGTTTTAGAAATACACTGTCAGCTGAACTGCAAAGCTACTCTAGTGGCACCAGTTCTCCCCCAAGAAGATGCTATAAAAATGAGTCACGCCCAGATGACATACAAAATCCTTAATGCATCTGTTTGAGGGACTCGCTGTGTTATTGTCCTCTTTGGACTATGAGTTCTCCCTCAAGCCATAGTTTGTTGGAACTATATATTCAGCTCAGACTAATTGATGCAGTACGTCTGCAGTATTGTTTCCAAAATATTTCCATCAGTGTTTCAAATGTTTCAAAAGTTAACAGTGGGGTACTTCGCTATTGGAACAATTCAATAAGGGTTGTCATTGAAAATTTTTTCTATTGAGGTTCAACGTTCTTCTAGAAGTACACTCTAGTTCAAAAAGAAATGAATTCAGGAAAGTTCTGCTGGTCTGAGTTATACAAGACATAATAATAAATGATAAATGGGTCCCTCGTCTAGCTTTAAAAAATCTCTAAATCTGTTCTGTAATTCCTGTGGTGTTTAGGATATTTTACCTTTTTTGCTCTATTTTATCTGTAACTTGCTATGGTACTGAAGTAATCTGAAGGGATAGGATCTTATAGAGAAGAGTATCTGTTTTGTTTATAACCATTTTTCATCTAGTTTTTTAAATAGATATTTGCTAATACTTGATTTCGGGAAGAAACGTCTCTGCAAAAAATAAACAGAACTCAACTTAAATGTCAGTACTACGCTGATGTTACTGAACTGCATTTTCAGAGAAGTTATTGTCTATAGCTGCAGGACAAATTCTCCTATTCTATGGAAAGCACTGAAATCAGGGATATTTTGAGCACATTCCCAGTTTATATCATCTGCTTTATATCCAAAGCTCAGCTTCGCCGCTTTCAATAGAGAATAACGATGCCATCGTGGAAAACAAAACAGCAATACAAACTACAACAAATACAGAGTATTTTAAGTTCATCTCTACGGTACTGATGATCATATTAAAAAAAAAATACAGCTCCTCTCAACATGACAGGGTTTTTTTTACTTATTATTATTATTATTATTTTTTTTTTTTTTTTTACCTTGGGTCCACATTTGCTGTTGCTTCATCAATGATAAGGATCCGATTTTTTTTTAGAACTGCTCTGGCAAGACACACCAGCTGCCTCTGACCAACACTAAAATTAGACCCAGATTCTGCCAGCTGTGTCTCCATTTTATTAGGTAGATCTTCCACAACCTCCTTCAATTGCACCTGTTGACATGTCAATATACTGAAGGATGAGTAACTCCCTTTTAAATCAGCTACTGTTCGTCTGATGACACAACAATAAGTAAGTAAGGTTTACCTTTTATAATCTGACACAAAACGAGTAAGCACCAAGTTGGATTACACAGTGTGTCAGTTATTAAAATTCTAACAACATTAAAGCATATTGTTAAGAATCTATTAATGTTCATTAAAATTAAGACATGAATCAAAATATAACCAAATCATCATCCCAACGGATATTTTTTTTCATAAAAGACATACATAAAAACATACACATCTACGCACACATTCACAAGCACACATACAGACACACTCCAGTCTACCTTTTTCCATCAACAGCTATGCCCTTATCAATCTAACTAAAATATCTAAAACCTAATATACACAAACACTATAATGTTTTTTTTGGCACATAAATACCAGATGTACATTATTAGACTTATTAAGTTACCTCTTCCAAGACATTCCACAGCTCTTCATCCGTATATTCGTTGAAAGGATCTAAATTTTTCCTCATAGTTCCAGTGAATAAAACAGGCTCCTAAAGCCCAGAATAAATAACATTTTATTCTACACAGAGGTTTTATACCACAATAGTAATTTAATAATAATCAGAACTAATCTATATCAGGAATAGCACAGAAATACCTTAAAACAAGTTATCTTTTGTGAAATGCAAAGGAGTATTTTACAACAGGAGCACATTTAAAAGGGAAAAAAAGACAAAATACTCTATATGGAGATGTTTCCAAAAACAGGTCAAGTTTGCTGGCAGAATTGCTGTACACAGTTCTGCTGAGACTCAGGTAGGCACTTACATGCCACTGTTTTGATACCACAAGCTATATCTACATTTACATGAAATTACTGCTATATTCCTGGCATTGTTAATGAACACCAGCAACAACCACTGTCAATGGGCTTATGCTCCTAAAGTTGCGTTTTGGTCGGTTCTGAAAAGTTTGTGTTTGAACTACATAAAACGGAGAGGAACCAAAGAGCTCACAATAGTTTTTTATTTGGTCTTTTTTTTTTTTCTTCTCATTTCATACCATAAAAGCTCTTCAACTTTACCACCACAAAGTCTAAAAGAAACAGTTCTCACTGCTTCAGTGCAACGTTCCAATCTATACACATTGATGTTAATCTATGCTGCTGAAGCATCAAACCAATCTCAGAACTGGAGCACTGCTGGGCAAGGATATAACTCAAAATCAACCAGCAACTCGAACCAGTACATTCTCCTATTCAGGTACCAACGTATGTTTACCTGTGGCTGAAGCAGCATTGTTCCACTTCAGTTCTAGTTTAGGTCAATAATAATCCATTAATCAGACTGGTTCAACTCAATTCATACTGAAAAATGTAATATTTGAGAACAGAGACCACAACTTTTGACCCAGAATCCCTAAGCAATAGACCAATACTCACTCGTGTGAGCAGCCAGATCTGAGAGTCATGCACTGGTACAACTTGAGGGCTAAATTCCTCTTAATACTACACGCAAAGACAACAGTTAAGTCAAAAGCTGTAACACTGCTGATCACAAATGGAGTCCATTCATCATGTTATCAGCATGTCCTTTGAACTGAAGAAATCTTACGCAAAGCTGTTTTTTTTCCCCTAAAAAAATAAAGTCTAAACTAACATTTGGTAACTTCAGCTTACTCCAAGATTAACCTCTGTCTTGACTTATGCCCCATCTAACCCTAGTGATGTCCAGCTCCAGAGGGCTGCACCAGATCAGAACACAATTTAGACCTAAATCCCTTTTATTCTTTTATTGTGTCTTCATTTCTAAGCCATTCTGACTGGAATAAAAGGATTAACAAAGACAGAACACGGAACAATCAATGTAAAAGAACGCATGCATTTCTTGATGTAATACACCAATTATTTGAAAATATTTGTTGCATTAAAAACATAAATGAAAACCTGTTGAATGAACAAAAGGATCTAGCAAGAACATTAACAGGTTAAAGAACGTTTTCCTTCAGAAACACCTAGAAATAATTTGTTTAACAATACATATTTTAATATACCATTTGGCATGTTTTGAAGGTATTGTTAGGTTTATTTTCCATTTCAATCCTTCTTCATAGGTTGGCTAAATAAGAAGCTGAATTTATAAAATGTTCACAACTATTATACAAGTCCTAACAACAGACATGTACTGCAACAGTAGATAAGGATAATTTTTAATTATCATTTCTGACACAGATTATTATTTAAAATAGCCTGGTTTATGAGAGGAAAGTAATAAGACAAACCTGTAAATAAATGTTGTAAAAATGCTTGCAGTCAGGGAGCCAGACCATATTTGCACAGAAAAGATTTACAAACACAGCCTTCACACAGCTCCATCTAAGCAAGCAATTAGAAGTCTATGCACATTTTTATTTCTCCAGGTAGGTATTTAAACTTACATATAAGAAAACTTCAACTCATCACTCTCTAGGTTGATGTCCTAGTTTTCATAAGCAACTCTCCCTTTCTCTGTTTTCTTAGCTTCCCACATGATTATGAAGATTTTTTGCTGCAAAATAACTGTCTGATGTTACATGACTATTTTTATTACTGATAATAACATTAGTAATGTAATAAAAAGACAACATCTACACTATAGTACATTATAATCCTCATTCCAAACCCTTCTCACTAGCACCACTACAAAATTTTGCATATTGTTAGTGAAAACAAGTCTTCCTTTATGCAGAAACGAAATCTTACCTGCTAGCCCTCAGACACTTAAAACCCTCTGGGATCACGACGAAAGCCCATAATATAAAACTTTATAGAAGTCACAGAACTCAGCTAGATTAAAACAGTTTAATGATCATGTCAATAAACCAATGCATGAATAAAAACACGTATAATTAAATGCAGTGAACTTTGAGCATCTGCATTTCTCAAGATGTAGAGACTGCATTTGACCAGCAGTTTCCCTGTCTCAGGACTGTATTTTTATTCAATTGTGTTGAATACTTCCAAACATAGAAATCATCTGCAATAGCTATGGACACGGACTTGAAAAAGCTGTAGACCTTCAATAAACCAATGGTCATCTATTTCCAAGAGAAAAAAAACACTGCATACAAGAGAAGTAGAGTTTAAGTCCATGTAAAGTCCTCTTTAGATATGAAAAGGTCACTAACTTCAGTGGGCAATGGCAGTGTGCATTAATGAAGCCTTCAGTGTGCTGAAACAAAATGCCTGTATTAGGCTACAATCCAACTGTTGGGGAGGAGTACTTTTTTTGTTGGTAACAGCATACCTAATTTCTTCCTCTTTGATTCCTATTCTTTGGATGGGGCGGGGGGGGGAAGGCAGGCAACCAAGAGAGGCTTAAGAGAAACACTCTCCATTACTGTTTTTATCAGATTTTCAATTTAAAGAAAGTAAAATAATATAAACATGCTGAGCATGATCCTGCTAACAGACTAGCAAAATATTCACATGGTCAAAGGACTCTAAATAACAATCTCTATGATAAAATATAGAAATCTAAGAACTAATCCTAACATAGCAAACAAATTTCTCTGGTTTCCAACCTATTGTACTGTCTACCTGCTAGAACAACCAAGATGAACTCTTGGCCAAAAACACAACTTCATATTTGTAGTCCTTAGTGTTTTTTCCCCTCCTTCCCTTTCCTCCCCCTCCAGTGGACAATAAAAGATCACAAGATAGATCAGAGCTCTCATACAATTGACAACCTGCACAGGCTCTGCCTTCAGGAAGTTCAGAGATTATGCAAATAGGTATGTATGCATTGTATGTACGCATTGTATGCACGTATATCCCTTCTCTGGTTCAACGTCTCATTTGAAAGTACGACAACAGACCTACGCTGTACTAGACTTCTTGAAATATCCTTTCTTCTGCTCTAATGTCAGAGAGGTGAGGCCGTTCACAACGCTGTAATTTCTTCCTGTATTTCTGGGCTTCTGAAGCTCACCAAATTTTTATTTACGACCCACTCTTTCTTTCTCGTCTCTGCTCTCCTCCTCTCCACCCACTTCCAAATAATGGGAAGACTGATAGCTCACTTCTAGTCAGGATGTTTTACTCTTTCTATATCTAGCCTCGGTCAGTCTGTAGTCACCCTGTATAGGGGTGACTACAGAGCGACCCCCCTTGAAGTCCCTTTCTCATATAGCTTCGGGCAATGCATCATGCAGCACTTGCTGCCAAAAGATCAATGGACCTTTGCGGATCGCTGAAGCTTGGTGTATTCCTGTCAAATCTGTCTGCTCTTTCCAGCTGGAGGAGGACAGCATACCGCTGCTACCTTCTCAAACTTATTCCAGAGAAGTAGATAGGAACACAAATGAGAAGAAAACCCTCCAAGTCCTAAGCTGATTCTCTTAATCTTAAAATAGCTGAGGTCCTATTCAAGCAGGAATAGGGTCTTGTTCAAGTTTCTAAGTCTCCTGCATAAGGAGTGAAAAGGGGAACATATCCTGGCAAAACATTTTATATACTGTGGCACTATAGCGAAAACGTATATAGCAGACAAAGTCAGTTCTTACCTGAGGTATAATTGAAATTTTCTTCCGCAAGTCATGGAGTCCTAGCTCTGATGTCAAGTACTTATCAATCCAAATCCTTCCTTCAGGTTCAGCCAATCGAAAGAGGGCCGCTATCAGAGAGCTTTTTCCAGCTCCCGTTCTTCCCACAATTCCAACCTATAAAACACATAGTAAGATTAAACCAAGAACTTCTCAGGATAAATTAATATTTTAAGCAATAGTTTTATACCATTACAGGGTTTATAATAAAACAAGCAGCAAACAAAATTACTTTATAATTAACACTTTTTTCAAAAAGAAGAGATGCCTCCCCTCCACGCCTCTCAAAATTAATTTGGAGTCAGCTGACATTTGGATACTCAATGATTTCTTGGTTCATATCATTCAAAAGCGAAAGAAATCTTTTTCTGACAAAGCTTTTCCCTCAATATGTGCTGCTGTATTGTGTAGACAAGATAAAGCGGCTCAATGCATACAGTAACGTGATTCAAGGCAGCTAACTTCTATCCTAAACCTGGCTTGCACGTTGACATCAGGCAAATCATTTCAGACATGTATCTATTTCTCAGTCCAAAAAAAAGGGCTCTCATAAAACATTTTGAGAACAACATATAAGCAGTATTCCTAATTTAAATAACGCTGTGACTGATTTTGGTTAGTACAGTTAAAAGGAAGTACTTTAAAGTAGTCAAACTTTAAAGCCAAAGTAAAGCTAAAACTAGCACTACGATTGTAAGCAGTATTCATGCTTCAGACAGCTGCAACAACAGAGAGGATACAAGTACTGAAACTACAAGGCCATGTGAGCAAGCTGCAATTTATTTCCAAGCAGAAGAAACAGTGAATAGAATTAGAGAGAATCAATCTATTTCTGTAGGTTCCCAAGGAAAAAAATATGAACTGTTTACAATGTGAAAAAATAAGACTTTCAGAAAAAAGAAGTAGAGATGATGCAAAGTAAGGGATTGCTAACTTTAATGTCAAGGGATTAAGACTTACAAGTATTTCATATGAAATCAACATTAGGGAGAAAGTAGGCCCATTAATAAATGAAAGGAGATGTATAATTAGTGGTGATTAAATGCTATTTAAACAGCAAACTTTTTTTTAAAAAGCTGTCTTCAGGTAAAGGATTCTTAGAGAAAACAATGCACAGTAATCAATTGTATCATAGGTGATGGGTGTAACTCTTGCACAGATCTGATCTGGCAAGGATTTGTTGTTTCCTGCATTCATTTCTAATCGCTACATTTCCAGAAAGAAATCATGATACTGGAAAGAGTTCAGAGAAGTGCAACATGAAATTAGTATGGGTTGGAGATACTGATTTTATGAGGAAGGATTTATGAGGCTTAACTACATGCAATATAGCTTGGTGAAGTGACTGGGGAGCAGAAAGAGGAAGAAACACAAAAATCATGAGCATTCGTACAGACACCAGAGGGCAACTACCCACTGCCTGAGACTCGGGTGTATGCAGTAATGACTGCTGGAATGAAATTAAGGATAGGAAACATTACACTGACCAGCAAAGAACAGTCAGACACTAAAGTCACAAACAAAGCAGCAGCGTCCACATTTAATCACAAATGCAAGAAAATAATAATAAACAAAAAAAGTAAAAAAGCACACTTCAAGGGCAACTTTCCCTGCATAACCTAAAAGGTATTTTCTACTTCTGTCTCTTCTGGTTCAACACCTTCATCCAACGATTCATTATTGTACGACTGTATAAACTAATTAACATTTATACAGTACTTACTAGTAAAGACACAGCATAATTTAAACAAATCTGTTACAATAAATGGTAAGAGCAAATAAACTATCTAGTATTCTAAATGAAATCAATGAAACAAAAATAGTTCTGATCAGTTTTGCTACGGCTCAGAAAAAACGCTGAATGGACAACACACACAGAGTTGTAAAAACAGAAGTTCAATTGCTTCTTTGTAAATGTCAGTGATATAAAGTATTGTATTAAGAATATAAGGAAAAATATAAAAAAATTGATACTTAAAATAAAAACGCAGCTGCTCTGCATATTGTCAAAATCCTACTCTCAGTTTGGCATCAAATGAAAGGATTTATGCTCTTCAGTATTTAGAAAAAACTATTTGCATTTTTGGTCCGATTGACTACAGGGTGCTGATTATTGACAAGAATTTGAAACAGCTCTCAGTATACACATTTCTTTTACACATTGTATTCTTCAGAGGCTTATGTTCATAGCCAGTGCAAACACGGGGATGGTCCACAAACAGGAGTCCCAACCACCAAAATCGTACGGCCAGGATTTTGTTGCCTGATGTGAGCCACGTGTATACATCAGAGTACACCTGCTACAGTGGACTCATCATTACCTAAGCATCAGTCATACTTCAAAGCAGAGCTGCACAAAAAACAAGGGTGAGATTTACAGCATGTCAGCTACTCCACAGAAACTGCCTGTGTCTTTGTTATCCCTCAGGCAACCTCCCCTTCGTGCTACACTGTAAGAGTATTTACACGAACAGCTGCCATGCCATAAATCTAGACTCACCCTCCTCACACTAACTTTTTCATGTAGACGTATCCTCAGATTGAGGATATGTCTGGACAAAGAAAACAAGGTCCTTTTAACAATATATTAGTCAATAAGTATTCAGAAGTTGTTACAGTCAACTAAACACCCTACTAAAACAAAGTGGCGTTCAGTTCTCCTGCTTCAGCCACACTAGCTGAAGAGGGTAAACACAGCCAGCTGCTGCAGAGCTCCTTATGCTGGCACTCTCCAGTTTGTCTCAGGCAGGCTACACTAGCAAAGATGTTTTAAACAGAAGGTCCTTCCTAGCCCATTTTGATGGTAAAGAATTACTGAATGCTAGGACACACAGCTTAAGTGGCAGATCCAAGCAGAGAGCAACCCATGATGCCAAGCGACACTGAAAAGCGAGTGAGCGGCTACTAATAATCTCCTCCATTCTGACTATATCTAGAGGTTCCCAAACTGAGTGCTGG